GTGTCGGTAAGGACAGTGTGTAAATAAATAATGCACCATTGTGACACATTCGTTTGAAGACGTGGTTCTGCAGGTTTGTCATTCTGTGTCTTGCAGTGGGTCAGACTCTGGCTCGTACATGTAAGGCTGGATTGACAAGTCTGTTGTTGACATCCTTATACTTTCTTGCCATCTGCCATCACTAATATGCACCTTCATATACATTCATTTTTGTACTGTACTTTACGGGGTATATATGTATATAAATAAGCATATGTGTTTATGTATATGTGCATTGGTACATTACTATATATCACACACGTATATTGTGGGGTTTTGTTTGTTATCTTTTATTAATCTTTCATTATTCTTCTCAGCCTCTCTTGTATTAAGCTGCAGTAATGTGCAAATTTCCAGACTGTTGGATCAATAAAGTTTTATCTTATCTTATTTTATCTTAAAAAATGTTTTTAGTTGGTAGATAACTGTGATTTTGCTATGAAACTACAAACATGGCCGAACGGGGTGGAGTCGAATGCTCAGGGACCTTGAGGGGGCGGGGTGTGAAATATCTCACTTGTATTTAAAGACACCGCACCAAAACAGCTTGCTCTGAGGCGCAACTCAGAACAGGGGTAAAAGCAAGGAAGGCTGTGGAGCAACAAAACGAGGAATTAAGACCAAAGTGTTGCAGTTTTATTTTAAAAAGACCATAAGTGAATGATTTAGACGTGAAAAAGAAGGATTTAAAAGCATGATATGATACCTTTAAACGGTTGAAAAGAAACTCAAACTTTTGTATCTTATGAATAAAAAACATCACTCAAGTGTTATTGGCTAAATACTTGTATGAGTCAACAAAATAATGCAATATTGAATCAAATATATTTATGCACAAAAGCCATAAAGAAAATCTTAAATCAGCTTTTATTTTTTAACGTTTTTGAATGATAATCCGTGAATGGTTTGTTCTGTTTTTTTCCTTTCAAAATAAAACCACAAAAAGAAAACAGACACATCATTTTTGCTTTTCTGTTTATTCTTTCAACTAAATTTGAAAATGCAAAATCGAAATAATTAAAAATCCACTGTGTTTTTACTTCAATTAAATTTAAAATAAAATATGTTGTTTTAGAATGTAGCAAAACTGAAAATGATGGAAATCGCCACAGAAGAAGAGTTTATATTGACTTTTAAACTAAAGCCATTACTTAAAGATATTGGCAATGGCTGCACCCGAACCTCATTCTGCATAACTTGGAATATTAAAGCAATTTTGTTCATGGTAAGATTAACAGCTCTCAGTGAGACCCATGGACTCCCTCTAAATAAGACAAACATATCCACAGTAAAGTGAAACTGAAATGCTCCAGGAGTTCAGGCCGTGATTTGTAGTTATGACAAAAGTTACAAAAAAGTGCACAAACAAAAAATAAAGCTTGTCTTTGTTTTAATTATTAAAATGAAAAATAAACTTTTTTAGCAGCTGTCATTTTTCTAATTTAGTTTTAAAACAAAACAGAACAGAACAGAATAAAACATACCAGATTGTTTTTTTTTCGTTTGTTTGTTTTATTTTGAAACTGAAAAACCAAAGAATGAACCATACACGGATTACATAAACATGCTGCAAAATTAGTAATTCTTTTAGTTTAATTGATTTCCTTAGTTATTAATTTATTTTTAAGTGCATTGAGTATCATTGGGTACATGCACACAGACGCACATTGAGGACTCCATCCCCAGGCTGAACTCAATGCTCTGCTGCCCCTTGTGGCTGCTGGAGGAATTGCAAACTAAAAGTTGCAGTGATTTTTAAAATTCAAGTTTGCTTTTAAATCAACATCACTCAAACACTGAAAGCTGCCAATTGACATTCTCTGCTCCTTTCCCTTCCTGTCTCCTCACCTGTGACTCCGCCTCCTTTTGACACCTCAGTCAGTGCAGGTAAACGGCCGCCTGTCGGCCTCATTTGACCCTACAGAGGTGGGCTCTCCTGGGAGAGCTGCAGCGGTCAGCCCACGTCAGAGGAAGCAGTATAACTCCCCCATCGGCCTGTACTCAGAGGAGACTCTGAAAGAGATGACAGCAGTGCAGGCGGGTCAGCCTGCGGGGTACGTAGTGACTAAGTGGTCAAACAGAAAGGTTTTAAGGCAAAGCAGAGGAGGAGGTCTGGTTCTCAGCGGCAGCTGATGTTGCATCACCAAACCACTCAACTTATAGAAAAAACTAATCATTACACATCGACACGTTTAACACTGAGTAAACACTAAACTGATTACCGGGTAAATGCAAAAAAACAAAACAAAAAAACTGAACACCTTTTAGGCTTTTAGAAGCAGCTAATATGTTTTCAGTTCATTTTAAAAGTTTACTTTATAAATCTTTCTATGTTCTGGTTCTGTCTGGTGGACTCCACATTGTATAAAAAAATGACCATGATGTCTAATCTTTGGCATTGCATTAGCATGCACCAGAATGCTCCAGACCTGCAAACTGATTAAGTATTTGGCCATTTTTTAAATTGCTATAGTGCCCTGATATGTTACACTCTAGAAAGTACTTTTAACTATGACCAAACCCTATATTATTCTAGTGAAGCATAAATCAAATATACAGCTTGTATGTGTTAAATAGATACTTAATATCAGAACTAAGCTCACTGTAACTGGACCTCAGTCCATTAGCAGCTACATTACGTGTCTCCTCTGCTGACCTTTGACCCTGAAAGGGAGAGACGTGAGCTCATCAGATCATCCAGTTTTGTCTCACATAACTGATTAATCAGTTTGTTGGTTCAAAATGAAAACTCTGTCTTAGCAATGGTGTCAGAACCTGTTTAAAACGAGGAGGACAGTTTATCCTCAAACACATTACTTTAATTTAGCAGGGTGGGCTTTCTGCTGCTCAGCATGCCTGTGGTGTTTCCTCAGTTGTGATTCAGTTGCTGTGTCACTGAGGACACTGAGCACCTGTCGGATTGTGAGGCTGCTTTTAAAGGTCAGGAGACCTTCTGGACATGGATGGCTCGAAAATAGTTTAACCTTACACTCCTGGAGATTCTGGGTCACTCAGGTTAGGGTGAAACAAAAGTTCAGTGTTGAAAGAGAAAACATTTTGAAATTTGCTTCTGTAGGACCTTATTTTAAAACTCTTTAACATAAACATCAAGCTCAAAATGTGTAAACATATATACATATACATACTGTGT